CCCCCCCCCCCCCCCCCACACACACGGGCCTAAAGCTAAGCACTACTTGAGTCGTTTATTCTTCCACTACAAAGCCTGTTCAGGTTTATATGCTTCTGATAGGATGTCATTGATGACAGCCCCTCGGCGATTACTCGAGCGCGGCGCTTTGTTCAGGAACGATCTCTACAGCCAGTTGATTTTATAATTAAGTAATTCACATTAGTGAGCTATACAATAAAAACTTCATAACCGATTAAAACACCTTGAAGCTTCTGGCATAAAACATCGAAATAAACAAAATGGGCCGATATTCTGCAGCTCTTTACATTCGAGTGACCTCGTTGTAGCCGGAAGTAAGTTTTGATTGGTCCCCTCAAAAACCCCTGCAATAGAACAGAGTTATACGCTTCAGGGTTATATCATTCTGCCAAAAACTTAATCCCAGATCAGTATGTCCAAAAAAATTTCATTTTGATCCGATACAGGTGACGTTTGCCCATAAAAAGTCCATAAAACTGATGTCTTTATCGCTGCTACACCCAAAATCAGTACTTACCTGTCGAAATTTTGCCCATGTATTGCAGGATGAAGCCAAGTTTCCTTGTACAATTTTCTCGTGCCTTAAGTTTCTTGCAGACATCGTTAATTTTATCTTCTTCCGTTGCTCTCGTCAATTCGTAGATTAAAACCTGTGGCCGAGCTTTCAGGATGTCCAGTAATCCTATTTGTATGAAATACGCCAGGACGTTGTTGTAGTCCTTGAGGCTTTCGTTTGGGAGGAAAGAACGATAATAAACAAAAACATCTAAGCGCAATATGCTCTTGTTCGCGAATACAACGTACCTGAACAATCTTTCTTCAGTGTCTCCAATCATTTTTGCACTTTCCAAAACATTCTTCAGTTTTTCCGTGAGCAAAACGACAAGTTCCTCTAGGTAGTTTCCTCGAAGTAGTTCATTTAAACTGTGTCTTACTTGGTCAATTTTGGGGACAGCATCAATTTTTAACAATATCGTCTGTTTCTTGTCCACAGCACACACTATCGGCAAGCATTCGTCATTAAGCGCCTTTAGGTGAAGTATTGACGCCTGTTCTTCGAGTTTGCGTAAAGCGTTTCGTTCCAGCAAATGAAGTCCATAGATCGTGTTGTCATCGCTGTTACCTTTGCTTTCCTCTAGTGCAGTACTTAGTGAAATTCCCATCCGGATTTAACTTAGCCTGTTGTCCCGTCGTTGATTAAAAAATAAGAATCAATGGAATCCTTTCAATCCTCTGGAACAGTTTTGACACTCATTTGTTACATTATGTAAAGGCTGGTTGTCGACGTAATCCTATAACATTGCGGCAGTACTTTTCTGTCTGCTTGTTTGTTTCTTTTTTTATTATTATTATTTTACAAGAGTATACGTGTGTCTGGGTAGGTGTTAATAATTTTTTGAAGGGTTTCCCTCTGACAGGAAGAACATATTTTCACTAAAGCGAAACGAAACGAAGAATGCATAATCATGACCAAGATATCATAATATGATCTCTTGATAATACAGATATGACAATGACTAACCTCCGGCGGGCATGGCAAAACGAAAAGAGAGCCCCAGTTTTAGCGCTGGCTTTTAGAGAGAATGTATGAGAACCGCTAAAATTGGGCCTGATCTCAGGTTAGAAAATGACCGGAAATCAATTGCCACCCTCAGCGGAATTTGTTCTTGTTTGGGTGACAGTAAAAACAATTTTAAAGTTAATGGTTTTTCCTGCGTCTTGTTTTTCGTTTCAAACATTATGCAAATACCAAACAGTTTGTATCTAATCAGTGCGCTGTTCAAACCGCTACGTTTTATTGGTGAGTAAAACTCGAATAGACCATCCTTTATCTGCTTTATAATATACACTGAAACCGAGCTTTTTTATTTTGCTTAAGTGGGTGGAGGGTGGGGCTTACCGTTTAGGAAAGAAACAGCTGATGGAAAAACGTTCATTGGCAATCATGAACAATATTAAGATGGAAAAAGTTATCACTAATCGACTATCATGACAAATTCAAATTGCTCAAAGTGCGTGTTACTCGATGACTCGATGATGATATTAGATTAGCACCAAAAGAGCAGTAGTGGTGCTATATTTCATTCCTTTTTTTATTTATTTTTTCTGAGAGTTGAACGATTTTTTAACACCTTGCTATAAAAACTCTATGATGCACACTCCATTATTACCAACTGTAAAAATATAAAGTCCTTTACTGAATAATATTTATTTAAAGTTACTCCCACTTTTACTCATAAAATTGTAGACAGGATAACTATACACTCATTTCACTCAGTTGAAGGGATAAAAAAATCAAAGAGTACTGGATGAACCAGTCAATGCAATGATACACACAAATGAAATAATTGCAGAGAGGAGAAAAGTTCCATCCCTTTCCTTTGCAAAACAAAGTTATTACAGAAAAGGCCACTTCCTAGTCTGGTATATGGAAACTTGATAGCACTTTTAGAACTCCTCTCTGACATACAGTTGTTGTTGTTGTTTTTGATAAAACAAAATGATTAATATGGTTTAAAAAAAAAATTAGCACACGGGAATAATGTCCAACGCCAATCAAATTAATTAAAAGAAACGTTAATTCACAACACGCGGTTAATCCTATCCAGAATCTCCTTCTGTCTGCCTTCTCGCGCCCTCCGTCGACTATGTCCCACCAATTTGATCTTCACCAGTAGCTAGCTTTATCAGGAATTTTCCAACTTTCTTCATTGAATCGCTCTCCAACTTCTCCAGCTCTTTACCTGCCTTCTCAAGCTTTTTGTCGTCTGTCGCTCTTCTCAGCTCGTAAATTAGCACTTGTGGTTTAGCTTTTGTCACATCCATGAGACCCACTTGTCCGTAGTAAGACAGGGCAGCGTTTTTTCCATCATCCAGGATTTGGAGGTAGATAAAGTAGTCAAAACGAATGAAGCCCTTGTTGGCATAAACAACGTGTGTGTGGCGACCTTCAACTGTTCCCTGTTTATGGGTTAGTAAGGCTTTTACCACATTGCCCACCAGCTGTATTAGCTCGTCGTCTGGTTTATTACCCTCCATGTGTAGATAACTTCCCATGATGCTCTCAATGTCGCCCTTCGGATCTTGGTTTTTCGCATCTTCTATGTACAGCATGCCATCAAACTTCGCCACCGCACACACTATCGCTATGCATTCGTCGTTAAGGGCGTCGATGTACAGCTTTGCTTTTGTACATTCCAGCTTGTTGCGCATGCGGCGTTCAACATCCCCCAGAACGTCGGGCTTCTTTTCAACTTCCTGGCTGAGGGACTGTCCCATTTCCACGGCTATTCGGTAAAGATCTTGTTAGTCTCGTTGATCAGCTTTGACAGTTTATCAAGTTTCAGTGAAGCTAAACTCAAAGAGCCCTCTTAAATAGTAGCTCAAGTCCTTTAAAGACTCCCAGAATGCAATTTGCGTTAAAGGAAGTAGGAAGTGCTAGAATCTTAAAAATGTTTCACTGGCGTCATTGTAATTAACGATCACTGGAAAACGGAAAAAATATATATATAATGGGCACACCTGCCACAAACCTGCCTGGGCGTGCACGAGTAATCAATGGAATATTTACAGGTATTAGCCTGAGTTACTATAACAAAAAAAAATACCATTTTAATACCACGCTTGACGAACCAATTGACAAACCTTGGTATTGACTTCAATAAAATTTATTTGTTCTAGGAAATATAGACTTGCCACAAGTCGACCGCGCCGTGAGAACGCCGAAAGCGCGAGGAGTCAAAAACCAGAAACGGACTTTGAGAAAGTTTATAGAAAATACAGTCGAAACTCCACTAACGGCCACCTCTCTACAACGGCCACTTTTTTTTGCCCCAGCGGACAAATAATCCATACATTTCATTTTGATTCAGTGCTTGATTATTCTTAAAGTGGGTCGATTGGATTTTTTAGGGGGGATACCTCCCAAGTTTCAGCATTGACTACATCGCCACAATAACAAAAGAAAACGGGAAACGGTCACCGCTGTAGCATTAGATAAAGACAAAAATTTGTAATAATCAGTGTTATATTGACATCGGAGTATTCATAGAACCGTATCCCTCTCTCGTCCGCAGAGGCCTCTTTGTGTCGAAGGGAGGCGTCCCTGTTCTTATTGCTATTTTTACTGGGATACCCAACGGAGGAGAGAGACCGTATCCTATGTCTTTGTTGATGGCCGGGACGGAGTAAATGTTCAAACTTGGGAGGCACCTTAATTTGGGAGAAATTTGTATGCCAACCTGTCAACCGCTAAGAAAGTTGACTACGACTCAATATTTTCTTTTTAAGCCCCAATATAATTTGCTCTAGCTGCCATTTATTGCCGAGTCTCTTATACCATTCACCTCACTATTATGTGCTGGACGAATTGTTTTCGCAACCAGTCGGTTTCGAAACGCAAATGTGCCGCTGTGGCAATTGAACAGTTAATAAAATCAAAGAAAGCCTATCGTCAACTCGTGGGAACATTGCTTAGAAAATGATCAAATGGTTATCAACTCTGGTTTTCCCACAGTAAATTGTAGGAAATGATAGAAATTCAGATTGTCTATCCATGTACAATATATTTAATATACTATCTTTGCTCTGCAAACACAATACTTTTCTTTTTGTTTATTGCATTTTATTAAATAACGGTTATTTAGGTACATATTTATAGAAAAACAAAAAACAAATAAGCAAACAAAACAAGCCAAAAACGGGAAAAAAAGAAAGAAAGAAGATTAAAAAAGATCGGTACAAACCAGGACTTGAACCCCGGAACCTTCGGCTGTATGCGACTAACATCACCCTTGCGAAAACTCTTTAATTTAATGCGTTATCTATGGAACTTCCGCCAGCAAATTCGTTCAGTATGATCGAGCCGCATTAACCGAGCTATTGACAATGAAAAAACAATGTCAACGCATTTCATGGCAACGAATGAACAAAATAACGTGTGCTTGACAAAGCCGATACACTTCGTCAACGAAGTAGGAGGCAAAACATATGTTTTCTTATCTCGATTTCTGCTGTTATTTTGAAGCTAATGGTCAAAATGACATCCATTTTCGGCCCATACAGGTTATTAAGAATAGCATGGCATGACCTTTGCTTACTTTCAGATCACTTTCCAGCAAGCTGGAATTTGTATATCCCCCGTGATCTTTCGGAGTCAGAAGAGTAATTGCTTATTTTCTCGTCAAGTCTAACGCCTGGACGAGTCAAAGGCTCTTGAAATCCAATCGCCAAGTTAACCATCGTACTCATTTGAAAGACTCCTGCGTGTCTTAAATTTGGTAAGACCTCTAACCGTGCTGTAAAAAATTTGCCATAAAGAAAACTCTCAGCCAAGAATTTGATCCCACCGAACTTCAAGAGCGCGTGCTTCTTCGGAAGCGATAGATCTTCGCACTCTCGAGTTCGGACCCGATTAATTACGAAGTCCGTCTCCTTCGAGTGAGCGAGTGACTCATTTGCATATCTCTGTCCCTGCAATAACTCGTGGTACGCTCGCGCGTCTCCACGAGTTAAAAATGACAGGTTTACGAAATAATTAAAACACAGTCACGCTGTTGTTGTATTGACGATTTAACTGATTTATGAAAATTTTCCTGTTGGAATTCTACGATACACACACTGCCGTATTACAAAGATGAACTCGTACATCCTTGCTTTCAATTTTAGGAAACTTTAAATGGAGTCCTCTCGGGTGTCAGTTATATAGTTCTAGCTGGGTTTGCTACTAACTTATTTTACTCATTCGAAAAAAGTTCAAAGTGTAGTATGAAGTGTCTTTTCCTCGTCTACTCCCTATACTAAGTCCTGTGTTTTAGATTTGTTATTCAGCATCTGCGTTAGATCTCAAAAATATACTTTATCACTAAGAAATTTTACTTCAATCCCTTTCCATATCCGGTAATATAACTCCTATGTAATGGTCTTTACTATGTGGCCTAGCCATTTTTTCCTGATTGTGATTGGTCAATTTTCCAGTTGTGACCGAAAATTTAATTCAAAAGATATTCCCTTCACCTCAATTTTGCCGCTACAAGTGCGTATATCTCGACAAAAAAAACCATTCCAAATGTAGTTTAATTGTTGTTTTTCAACATCTTAACCCTTAATGCGGCTTCGTTTTACAAAGCCTTGAACAAGACAGGATAATGGGTATGTGATAATAACTCTCTCTTGCCCCAAGTCATTCTAAACTCTCCCTCATATATTGTTGTCTTACTAACACGTTGTCATCCTTGCCTTAAATCAGACCCACAGAGAGGTCTTGCTGATCGACCTCTCTCGCCGTCCAATCGTTTAGCTCCGGCTTCGATTTTCGTGACTTACAGAAAACGTAACCCTGTAAATTATGTCAAGTTTAATAAGATCTAATAAGCTTGAACAAATTAACTCATCGACAAGGGAAGCTATAAGTCTTAAAAGGGCTAAGCGGCGGAAACTGTTGTTATCCTGCACAAAATCAGATGCACTAAAACACTAAAAACGAAACTATTTGCGTACTTGAAATCGCGAAATTAATCAACAATATGAGCACTGCGCAGTTTTTTGTTTACTAAAACTTTTAGTGAGCGCACGGCCAGTTATAAAAAACAAATAACTGAAAGCTCTGTTTGGAAAAAAAATTAAGGCTTAAATTAGAAAGTACAGCCAAAAGAGTCAGGGTATCCAAGAGAAAAATACGCAACGCTTGAAAAGGTTGGGAATCACCGAAGCTCGTTTCCGGCTAAGATGGGCCCCGCAGCTTACAACACGGCATTGTTTTTTTAAGAAAAGCAATTAAATATTTCTGCCTGGGCTAACTCTTGCTCAAGGAAAGGTAAACTTCGTAACACTCCAGGCACTTGGAAACAGACGATTATTATCAACTGATTACGATTGGCGGGCTTCCTGTTGGTTTGTTATTTCGTGTTGACTAACGATAGGAGCACTACGCAGTTTTTTCGTTTACTAAAACTTTTAGTGCGTGCACGGCAACTTATAACAAACAAATAGCTCATGCGAGCACAGACATAGTGTCTGTTTGGGAAAAAAATGAAAACTAAAATAGGAAAGTTACAGTCAACAGAGTAACCAAGAGGAAGATATGCAATGAGTGAAAAGGCTGGGCAACACCAAACTGGCTCGTTTCCGGCCAATATGGGCCCCGCAGCTTACAACACGGCATTGTTTTTTAAGAAGCTTTGCGCGCTCGATTTCTGCCGATGCCCATGACAAATGTTGAAGCTTTTCCAGGAACTCAACACATAATATTTAACTCAAAATGTGTTCTTACATATGGATGATTTATTTCGGCTCTCAGTATAAATGTTCTTGCCAGTTGGCCCGCTTGTTTTAAAAGTATTCTTTGCAAACAAGAAACTAAGTGACGAAACATAATAGACTAAAATAACAGGAAGTTTTAAGACGGTAAGTGTTATAACTTCTAGATGAAAAAATAGGTACCTTTGTTTCAACTAAACAACGACAACTGTAATTAATTAACTGTAATTAAATGTATCTGTCAGGGCTTGCACCGGGAAGACAAATAAAACACGTACTTGAAACACCTGTAAACGAAAGACGCTTATTAATTGAATTCATATTTTAAAAAAGAATAAAAAAATAAACAGAATTCTTTATTGGACGTGGTCACGAACATGCATTGCAGACTCCATACAAGACGCCGTCGGTTTTAAGGTTAACTTCCTGTCATTTTCCTTTTCTGAATGTATGGACACATAACCTTTCAACTCGAGTTTTGTCATACAGTTGGTATTAAAGTGAACCAAATGATTTCAGAATCATAGAGAAGACCTAAGCTTCAATTTGTAATCGAAGAAGCTTTAAAAATACAAAGCGGAAAGTCATCACTTTTAAGTATAGTGACGTAAACTACTCTGTTTTTTACTTTGTCAGACAATCAAAGAAAGACATAATAAAATAAAATAAAACACTCAGTACCTGTATCGGAAGACACGGAAGTGCTACTTGAATATCATGACGTGAATTATTTTGTTTTCATTTTATTATTAAAGCAATTAAATATATCTGCCTGGGCTAACTCTTGCTCAAGGAAAGGTAAACTTCGTAACACTCCAGGCACTTGGAAACAGACGATTATTATCAACTGATTACGATTGGCGGGCTTCCCGTTCAAGGAAAGGTAAACTTCGTAACACTCCAGACACTTGGAAACAGACAATTATTATCAACTGATTACGATTGGCGGGCTTCCTGTTGGTTTGTTATTTCGTGTCCTTTTACTCTTTTAGCTACTTAGCAAAAAACCTGACTAAGTTAACTTTGGCGGAACGAAATCTCGCATTTGTGTTTCAGTATTTTCCAAAGTTAAGACACTATACATCCCCTGATAGAGAAGGGGCCACAAGGATAACCTTGACGAGTCACGTGAAGGTTAGCCATTTTCAGTGCAAAGGGGATATCTTCGTCCCCAGCTACTACTGGTCCGGCCGGGAATCAAACCGTGACCCCCTCCCTATATGCCAGCGCTGTCACAAGCCCTGGTTGTTTAAACGTTGTATAGCGCTATCAACCGGATAAATCACTATTCAGCAGAGAAGTATCAGTGAAACCAATTGCGCTATCCACTAGATAGAGAATTAATTAGTGGATAGCGTTATCGAACTTTCCGACAATTCGGCCCAGGAGAGAATCCTATCTTGAGCTAGTCCGCCTCATGAGATCAGAGGACATTGTTAAAATCTGAGATTTCCTTCAATTAGACGCGAATAAAATCGTAGAGACAAACATTTGTTGTGTGTATTTTAGTCAATTTCGTCAAACATTTCTGCAAAGTTTGTGCCATGGGCGAGAGGCAGATAGCTACCTCCTTTTATTGCGACACCTCTCTCCTGCCCAGAGGCTCCCACTTGGTATTCCAATAGCATTTATTAAATAGTAAGCTTGCGGTGGACGATGGAAAGCAAGGCCTCTCTTTCCCCTTTCCAATGTTCTCCGCGCGCTGTCTATTTTCCCTCCGCCAACCTTCCTAAGACACAGAGAAGTCTCTACGGAGGTGAGAACTGCGCAATTTTTACCTTTTAGTACATGACGGGGTGTCTCAGTAATAACTCTGGCTGGGTTTATTAAGCACAGTGAAGTCAGCAAGGGTATTGTCCGTCTGTGGTAGAGTTTGCTTAACCAGTTTGGAAAATCTTATTCTGTTACTCTCCTCCGCGCATGTGCCACGCGTTTAGACTGCTGTAGACTGCGTTTACCCTCGCCCCAGCTTTAGAGCCAGACACGCTCGCTACGCAGGTTATGTGGAGGCTGGGGATATGAGGAAGGAAAGCGCTCAGGGGATTATCGAAAGCATAAGGCTTCTGTTCACACTCGAGACAATGACTTCGGAGCGGTTTCTGTAAAGGAGCGAAGCTGCGCCGCGCCGATCTTGAAAGTGTGTCTTCATATATCGGATACCACTCTTTTCCGCAGTGTGAACAGGTGTTCACAATACAAATAAGTCGGATAGAATTGCAATAGAAAACATTGTGACTACTAAAACACGAGTTTATTCATTTAACTTTCAATTGGTGCTGAATGTAACCTCTTAAGCCCTCCTCAAAAAAATAAGAAAAAAACACTGTTCACCTTTTACATATGTTAAGCTATTCGTATAAGTCTATTTCGGTAGTGATTTATTCGGACTGATGTCGATCAGCCAACGGTATCAGGTCGTTTCGCCCGCACTTAAGTCGATTCGCCCGTTGTTAACTTATCGTTCTTTCAGCCAGAAAAAAAAAAAAGAAGAAGCGTGGAAAGACAGTCACTGCAAATGCGGGTCCGGATGTGGGTCAACAGCTTTTTCTAGAGCCAACATAACAAAATATCTCAAAGATCGACGTCGCGATCATTGCGATCGCTGAGGTATACCTTCATACCTTCTACCTCAAATATAATTACCTAGATTGCTGATATCGTTTTGATCGCTGGACCTTTTTTACCAATCATAGCCATGGAATTCAAGCTTGACTAAAATAACATCTCTGATAAGTATGTTCACCGTGTCGCTGAGTGTTAAATGTCATTGGGCGAATGGACTTAAGTTCGGGCGAAACGGCGTCGGGAGAATCCACTTTCGGTTAAAACAACAGTAGAACCCACTGAGAACCAAGGTCACTAACCGAATTAAGTCCAGAGGAAACGACAGTCACCGCCATACTTCGTTACATTAGAAGATTCTTGAAACAAATTCACAAATAATTTATGAGTCTATCATAATTGTATCATCACAGACTTAGAACTCTGGCACCATCAGCTGGGCTGGTCACCACACATGTCGCCTTGTTTTCATAGCCCTCCTGATGAACAAAACAACAGAAAAGGAATCAACGTGATGCAGTGTGGAAAAAAAGTTTTGTTGTACTAAATGTATAATGCATGCGTATCGTATCTTGGCATGTAATTTTAGAAGAAGGAGAAATCTAAGACTGTGGTTCACACTCTACTGGATAGCTTTTGCGCCGGGGAGGGGGGATTTTGGTCTCACTTAGGGTGTTCTGGGCAAGACGCCATCATATTTAGCCGTGAAGGTCTCGATTAGGGTTGCAGGCGAAAAAATATAAAAATATATAGATTGTCGGTGTCTTAAAATGGTCTCTTTTAAGGGTCAAAAAAAGCTTGGGCTACGCCCAGATTGGTGTCCTTTAGGGGTTTAATTCAAAATTTCCGACGAGCATCCCCACCCCTTTCATATGCGGAGTCCCCCCCCCAGGGCTTTTGAAAACGGAAATAGATAGAATAGAAAACGAAACATGATGGCCGCTGTAGAGATGTGGCCATCATTAAGAGGAGAGGAGATTCTCACAAGATTCTCACAGCAGGAAGTTTCAATTCGTACTTTTTTTGTTTTATTCGGAAGCCGTGAAGAAAAAAGCTTAATGATGACTTTAAAGGGGAGCTTAAGGAAGCATTTTATATCAACAAAGTTCTCTAGAAAATTTAAAGTAGAAGGGAAAAAACTTACAAGTATGCAGCAACTGATCGGGCGCCTCCTTCGTGAAGCACAGCTGTGCGTGTGGGTGTGTGGAGGAAATAATTAAGGAGGACTGCACTGCTCCCCTTTGACTGGGTGAGTCCGGGGACCTCCCCCGGGGAAAATGTTTATTTGGGGGTCCTGAATGGTCTATTTCAGTGAATTTTTAGCGACCAGGGAGAAAAATTTTAGCCATGAGGATGACACCTTTATATACCCAAATTTGTTTTATTTTGTATCATAATGTTTGTTTTCACTGTTTTCATTGAACTCAATTGTTATAAAGAAACAAATGAAATACGAAGAGTATCCGGCACTTTAAGACAATCGGCGAATTGTGCTGGTTATCAGAGCTTCCAGAGAATCCTGCATTAGTGTTAAAGATACTGTGAAAATATATCTATTTGCAAGCTGTCAGTCTAAAGGGGGGTCACCATGCCAGCTTTAGTGATACAGGCTGCACTAGTGCCCTTGCTTCAATGATAACTGGCTGATTGCTGATGATAGCAATACTTCACTCAATTTTAAAGACAAATATATATTAAAAGACTTCCTTACTGTCAGACTACAGAACACCCACCTGAATGTGCTTGATGAGGTTGTCTACAGATGACCGTTTGACAAGTGTCACAGTACACCCACCAAAGCCTCCACCTGTCATACGAGAACCATAAACCCCATCTACCTCCATGGCAAGTTTAACAAGTAAATCAAGCTCTTCACAGCTGACTTCATAATCATCCCTTCAAAAAAAGATATACGAAACCAATATTATTTTACTCTGCTTCTGGGTTTGGTTTGCTTTTTTGGTTTTATAACAAACCAGATCACTGTTTTATGCAATAATGCACTCCCAGGTTTGATTAACTTTGCAGCTATTCTTCTTGTTCCTAGAGCTGTGATCGTTTAGGGCCAGTGCCATATGATGAGAGTCCTGGCTGATCCCAGAATAGTACATAAACTCAATAGCTGGTACTGTCTTAAATTTCTGAGGCTGGGCAGTAAGAAGGAAGTCTGTGATTTCTGTCAATATTTGTTAGTTGTTTTTATGAAAGCAACAATAATTATTACACCTGTATTTGTTTGATAAGAAGATTTATCCCATGCCATAGTGAATGCAGCCAATCAGTTAGCTAGAAATCTGTTGCAAATTCTGTGGTATCCGATGGGTAGTATTTCACGAAAAAATCCAGGTGATACTTAATTATGGCCTCCACATTTTCCCGCCAAAAATAGAGTGGTTAGTGACAGACAAAAGTTTCATTCTACCAAAATTTCCAGGAGCAACGTTGTAAACAACACGATAAACCATTGTATGTAGTATTAAAAGTGGCTTTCTTCAAGTTTGACTGTGACGTCGAGATTTCCCTATTTTACGTCATGATGTTAATTGGCATGGGATAAATTAGTTATGCAATGCTTCTTTCATGGTATACCACGAAAAATCCCACAAGTGACTTGATTTTTTTTAATTTGTATGTACACTCGCCTTATACAATCGCATGAGGCTCATGTGTATATACTTAGAAAATCAAGTCACTTGTGGGATTTTTCGTGGTATACCACTCGAATGCATTGCATTAAACTAGTATGTTTTAAAAATACAGCCTGCTCAGCACTACATGTACTGTACTGTCTGCTGTCGGTGTTGTGTTACCTAAGAGAATTGTGACTTTCCACCATTAGCTTTCCAAATTTCTCATAATTTTCCTTCTCAAGTGCTGCAGCAGCTTCAGTGGTTCTTTGTATCTCTCCGACCACATGTCTTGCTCGGCAGAACTCAACATCTTCCAACTTCCCCTTGTTAGCTGTGGAAAAAATATATCAATAGTGTAAACCAAAGAAGACAATAATATCTGATTAATGATAAATTGTTTAGATAATCAACCCTTTGAGTCCCAAAATCCACATACAAATTCTCCAAACTCATCTCCATACATTTCCTTAAAGAATAAGTTAAGAGAATTTGTTTAAAAATCACATTGTTCCCTTAGATGACCATTTTATTAATTCTAAATCACATTATCCCTCGATTATATGTGGACACTGTTACGAGAAAGTTGATGATGGGCAAATACATGCACTGAGTGACTCAAATATTGACTTAAATGACCAATCTAACTGGAATTGTGAGATTCTGAGTCGTGATGAAAGGGGTGAACCAAAGTGCCTTATGAAAAAACCTGTCAAAACCTGCCTCTGAGTTTCAAACCAACGCCTGAGTACAGCTATCTCCTCTGCTGTGGGGAGGAGGCAGCTGTACAAAGGCTATTCAAACAGGGCCAGGATTTTGGTAGCCTCATGCGCCACAGATGAAATTAAACTCCGGTTAAGTCCATCTGCAAAACAGTGCCGAAATCCTTGTTCTACACCCCCACCTGTGTACCAGGATTTGAGTACGTGCCGTGATTGGCCTGTTAAAAAAGCCATTGTTGATTTGCAAATCAGGTTGAAAGGAAATTTAAAACCCATTTCTGGTAATTCTTTGAATCCATTGGGGGCCAAGAACAAGGATTCCAGAGCTACTTTGCAGACGTTGCTATCCGAGGTTTAATTACGATACGATGCAGGCTAGGTTTGTGGAAGGTCAGTGCTCTAATACTACTACTTTCCCCTTCAAATTCAGTGTTTGAAGCACAGATAAGAGGGTTAGGCAACTTGATCCAAAGAGCAAAAAAAGTTGCAGCCTTTAAAATTTAGCACAAGGAGTTATGAACTGCAAAAATTATAGCCTTGGTGTAATATTAACTCTCCAACTCCCTCAAACAGGCCATCACCATTTTGAGCTTTGGCAGAATGTAAACTAAGATAAAAAGTTAAGTTGATCATATTCTACTTAGCTGTTTACCCTTCATCTGCAAGACCCAAAGGGTTAATCATTATAACTACAAATGCCACCTCTTTATTTATAAATATTCTATATTATTATTATTAATATACATTGTTAATATTCATGTACATGTAATAATTTATAAGCTTTACAAATTTGAATTTTATTGTAGTTTTTTTAAGTTGTTAAGCACTGTTGATCAGTGAATGTAAATAGCGCTCTAGAAGTTATTAAATTATTATTATTATTTTTATTACCCCAGCATAAATGACCTATCTGTGATAACAAATAAATCTAGGGTTCTCCTAATGTTTGTAGTAATAAATATTCAGTAAAGTACTATCCTACCTTCTAATTCTGCCATGGTAACTTCCCTAAGACTGGGTTTTCCTAGTGTTTTTGCTGCTGTTTCACATTGCTTCCTTCTTGTTGGATACTCACTTCCTGTCAATTCATGTCGAACATTTGAGTTGGTTACCAAGACAGCTAAATCAGGGTTTGTCATTGGAACAAGTGTGGCTTCCATTGATCTGCAAAATTGTTGATATCAACCAGGATCAATAAGAATTTGAAAACGAAACGAACTTTTGCTAAGGTACACTCTACACAGAAGCCACAAAAATTGTAGTTTGAGGGATTGCCATCCAGTNTTCTTGTTGGATACTCACTTCCTGTCAATTCATGTCGAACATTTGAGTTGGTTACCAAGACAGCTAAATCAGGGTTTGTCATTGGAACAAGTGTGGCTTCCATTGATCTGCAAAATTGTTGATATCAACCAGGATCAATAAGAATTTGAAAACGAAACGAACTTTTGCTAAGGTACACTCTACACAGAAGCCACAAAAATTGTAGTTTGAGGGATTGCCATCCAGTATTCTGGAAATGAACCGATCACCCAGAAAGTAGAAAACAATTCCAACAATCACATGCATGAATCCAAAAGGAATTATATCGATGAATTCAAGTCTTCAAATTATTAAGTGGGGAGCTCACTTATAAGGGGTGTAGAATGGTAAATTCAAGACTTTGCAAGACTGTGAGAGTCAGGTTTCATCGAGACTCCGAGACAAGACCTATCACAAACACTTCCGAGATTTTAAGATTGGGCCAAAATTTTCCAAGACCCACATTTTTTGAAGAACCATTCCATAGCCCTCTCATCCATACCCTAAGATAAGAGTATGGCTTGGCCTGGAAAAGAATTTTTCTCATCCCTGTGGGTTTCAGTTTGACCTAAAAATAAAGTGAAGATTAACGTCCCCTTCGTGCCCCTCCCATAAATCTGCCACAGATTTAGGCCCCATCCACACTAATGTGTTTTCAAAAGTATTTGTTTTCATTCTCATTGAAAAAGCATGAATCAATTCGCATCCACACTGCCATTTTGTTACATTTTCAACCGCCCACACTAAACCATTTTTAAAATGATAGAATTGAACGTTGTGATGTAAGTTGAACGCTGTGCCAAACTACAAACGCTGGCACCTGCAATAGTTTCCGTCATCATTTTAATTTTAATGTATTTTGACCATTTTTGACCATTTTCATTTTGATCCACTTGAAATCTTTGATCCACTTGAAATCAATGCGTTTTCATAATGCTCAACAAATTAGTGTGGACAGAAGGCCCAAACACATCATAGTGTATGTGTTTTGAAACGAAAATGTATTAGTGCGGATGGGGCCTTACATATTACAAGACAAATACCTGCAGTCTAGCAGTAAAGCATTGCCTCTCTTGCCCATTACTGAAATAAACTGATCCATAATTCCGCATGGCATGTTAGCAAAATTATGCTCAGCTTTTTGACAAGCCAGAGCCTTGACTTTCAAATCTTTTTGCTCTTTCCCAGTTAACTGTTCCAAAAACGTGTAGGTGGCAACTTCAAGTGACGCAGAGCTAGATAATCCCCCTCCGAGGGGTACTGAGGTGGCAATAACTGCATCAAAGGCTGGAATTGGTCCTGGAAAATTGGCAATAACTCCCTTGACATAGTTGGCCCAAGAAGGCTTGCCAGGCACCAGTGGACTATCAGGGGTATGGACGGGAAATGTTATTACATGGGGTTCATCTACGCCTTGAGCACATGTGGCTAAACGACACACATTGCCATCTGATTTTCTTCCTACAATTACCGTCACCAACTCTAAA